TTCCAGCCACCACAGTGTGGAACAGGGAAGCACAGAATCCCAGAACCCCAGAATTGTTTGGATTGGAAGGAACCTCTGGAGATCACCCAGTCTGACCCCCTTGCCTGGGCAGGGTCACTTGGTGACACAGGAACACTTCCAGGTGGGTTTGGAGTATCTCCAGAGAAGGAGACCTGGGCAGCAGTTCCAGTGCTCTGCCCTCCTCCATGCAAGTAAGTTCTTTGTCATGTTGAGGTGGAACTTCTTGGGGTTTAGTTCATGGCCACTGGTTCTCATCCTGTCACTGGGCACCACTGAAAAGAGTCTGGCACTTTCCTCTGACCCCTTGGAGATATTTGTCTGGACTGATGGGATCCTCTCTCAGTGCTCTCTGGACTAACCAGGCCCAGTTTCTGAAGTCTCTCTTCATCAGAGAGATCATCCAGGCCCTATGTGTTCAGAGCAGTGGGATGCAGTGTGGCTTGGCACACAGGAGCTCTTGGCAGCTCTGCATTCATCAGTCCTGGACTTACTGGGATCCCATCTCCATAGCAAACAACACCTTGAGGGCACTAATGACTATTTCGAAACTACTGGCTTTGAAGCACCACAACAAGCCATTAGAGAGGAGGGACAGAGGCAGATTAAGCAGCTTTTCCAGGCATATTTACAAACTCTGGCAGAGCTGAGAAAGCTTTCTGTACCTCTCTCATCACCACCTGGGACCATCCACTTGTCTTTATTCTTCCCTATTAGCTGATAAAGGACAGCTGAACTTTGGATGGATTCCTCTAGCCTGTTTTCTTTCCCCTTCCTTCATGGCCTGTAGGAGGAAAGGTTGAAAATGGATCTTTTCATAATTTTCTAAGCTGTTTGCTGAAAAGTGACATTTCCCTGCCTAGTCACAACAGGTGGTGGGTGTCTTGTGGCCAGTGAGAGAAATCACTTCTCTCCCAAACCCAATGCATCTTTATCCAAAACCAGACACATGTACACATGACAGCAAGAGTGGAGAAGACTATTTATTTTGGGAAATGAACCAAATCCTGGCTGTGGGGAAACTCAGAAACTCCAGAAATCCCTTGGATAATTTCCCTGAGCCTGCCCAAGGGTGCCACCAGGTCCCTTGGGTGATGCTGAAGCTCCTGCACCTCATGGACTCACCATGTTTCACCAGCTCTCCCACAGCTTGTGAAAGGCAGGACCAGAATGACCATTTGGCCTGATTTAATTAACCTACCACTCATTACGTGAAAGGATAAGGGCTACAGCAAAGAATTGCCACCCCAAGAAGGATTGGACCAGTCACAAAATAATGGAATTGTTGAGTTTGGAAAAGCCCTCTAACTTCCCCCAGCACTGCCAAGGCCATCACTAAACCATGTCCCCAGGTGCCACATCCATATGTTTTTAAATCCCTCCAGAGATGGTGATTACACCACTGCCCTGGGCAGCTGTGTCAGGGGCTGACCAACCTTTCCAGGAAGAATTTTCCTCAGCATCCAAAATGAACCTCCCCTGGCCCAGCTTAAGGCTGTTTCCTCTTGACCTGTTCTTGTTCTGTGGTAGCAGAGCCTGATGCCTGAAACCTCCCTCCCTCTTCTGCCCCAGCTACACCCTCCTGTCAGAGTATTTTGGAGAGTGAGCAGGCCGTCCCTGAGCCTCCTTTTCTCCAGGCTGAGCCCTCCCAGCTCACTCAGCCACTCCTGGTGCTGCAGCCCCTTCCCCAGCTCCATTCCCTTCCCTGTACACGTTCCAGCCCCTCAATGTCCTTCACGAACTGAGGGGCCCAGAGCTGACCCCAGAACTGGAGGTGTTGCCTCACCACTGCCCTGCACAGGTGGATGAAGTCACAGCAGTGACAGAGGACACAGGAGTGGAGAGAGCTGCTCCAGTGGCTGAGAGAGACCAAGATTTCCTACTTTTTCTGTCTCCCCTTATTGGCCAAAGCAGAAGCCACAATACCACCTCCCAGGAATCTCCAAAATTGTGTGACCTCTATTCCCACACCTTAAATGAGGCCAAACACACACGTTCATAAAACCCTAGGTGGCTTTTAAAGCATCAAAACCTGACATAGCAGGTGGAGCATTCTAGCTCCCTCGTGGTGTTTTAGCTCATTAAATTAAGTCCTTACAGAACAACCTTCTTTTGCATTTAGTTTTTGCTACTGAATGATTTGCTGTCCTTACAGGAGAGCAGAGCCTGTACTGCCAAATTAGGAGTAAAAAAAGAATAAGCAATTTACAATTTACAGTGGCTGCAAACCATTGGATGGGGAAAGGCTCCAGGGCAGAAAAGGAGGCTGAGGGGGGACCTTCTCTCTCTCCACAACTCTCTGACAGGAGGGTGGAGCTGAGTGAGGGAAGATGTATGCATCCAGGGAACAACTGATGGGACAAGAGGGAACAGTCTCGTTTTGTGATGAGAGCTTTGCAAGCTGCCTGGGAATCTTCTTCTAGCAATGACACTGTTCTCTGGATTCCAGCTCTGCCTGCCCTGGGAACTGGCCTGGTGATAGGGACGTCAAGTCCCAGCTCCCACCTACACGCAGAACCACAGGAGCATACCCTGGGATGTGAGAGGTCAGCCCAACTCATGCAGCAGCACCAGGAATGATGTGGGCTTGCACCCTGATGTTCTAGGCCAGGTTGGACAGCCTTGGAGCAATCCGGTCTAGTGGAATATGTCCCTGCCCATGGCAAGGGGTGGAACAGGATAAGATTTAACATCCCTTCAAATCCAAACCACTCTATGATTCCATGAAATTCGGAGCAGTGGTTTGTACTTGGAGCAACTTGCACACGTACTGCTCCTGAAAGAGCTGGAGAGGAACTTTGGCCAAAGGCCTGAAGTGACAGGACAAAGGGCTTCCTACTAACAGAGGGTTAGAGGGCGTACTGGGAAGGAATTCCTCTTCCTCTGAGGATGGTGAGGCCCTCTTGCTGCTCCATGCCTGGAAATGTCCAAAGTTATGTTGGCCGGGGCTTGGAGCGCCGGGGATAGTGGGATAGTGGAAAGTGACCCTGCCCATAGCAGGGCGTGTCACTGGATGGAATTTAGGGAGGAATTGGAAGGACCCGACGGATCACTCACTCTGGGATTTCTCCCCTCACGGCTCGGCCACACCCCCACCATCGCTGCACCTGTCAATCAGGGGNTGGCGCTGCCGAGCCCCCGCGACCTCCCGGAGCGGCGAGGAGCCGGCGGGGCCCTGCGACCTGCGCCGCTCATGCGCCTCCGGGGGCGGCGGCGGGCGCTGCACTGGCGGACCTATGTTCGGTCTTTCAGCACCCCCTTACTCACAGCCCTACCTCGGTCCCTCGTCCTTAGCTTCCCTTCCAGCCTTCCCTTATCCTTAGTGCCTCCCCATTCTCAGCCCGCCTCGGCCTCAGCCCCCCCATCATGGGTCTCCCTATCCACAATTCCCCCTTACCCTCAGCTCCTCACATTCTCGGTCCATTCCTTATTTACAGGCTCCCCCCTTCTGCTCCCCTTCTCATCCTCAGTCCTTTCGTCGTTCTCAGATCATCCATCCTCAATCCCCCCTTCATCCTCAGCCACCATCTGTTCCCCCCATCTTCAGTCCTTCCTCTCATCCAAAGACCCCCGATCATCAGCGCCACCATCTCAGCCTTCCTTCATCTACAGCTCCCCTCACTCTCAGCCTCCCCCATGCCCCACTCAGCCTTTTCTCACCCTTAATTATTTTTCAGTTATCTCCCTCATCCTCGGTCTCATCTGTTGTCAGCCTCCCCCACCCTCTCAGCTTTCTCTCACCCTCAGCCTCCAAGTCCTCCCTCATCTTTGGTCCCCCCAGGCTGCCCTCACATCCCCCATGGCCCTGTTCTTCTCCCTCCCCATTTCCATAAGCCTAGCCCAACCCCCCAGCCCCCTCCATGCCAAGCTGGCAGTGTCTGACTTCTGTCATGGTTCAGCACTGTCTTTGTAGACCTACACATTGGTTGCAAGTCAAAGGTTGCATTTGTAGTAACAAAAGGATTAAATGCAAGCTCAGGCACTGGGTTACTGAATAATGGGCAGAGTTTCTTAGCATGGGACTTGGGACAAGGGCCTGGAGTCACAGGCAGGATGGGAGGAATGGCTTCCTACTGCCAGAGGGCAGGGTTAGATGGGATAGTGGGAAGAAATTTTTCCCTGTGTGGTGAGGCCTTGGCCCAGGTTGCCCAGAGAAGCTGTGGCTGCCCCATCCCTGGCAGTGTCCAAGGCCAGATTGGGCACTGGGGCTTGGAACAATGTGGGATAGTGGAAGTGGGGGTGGAATGGGATGAGCTTTAAGGTCTCTTCCAGCACAAACCAGCTCACCTTTGCAGACAGGGACCTGCAGCTTATCATAAGGCTTTTCCCAAACTTTGCAGGTTACTTTCCTGACATGTATTAAGTTTGTCCATAAACATCACCCCTGCCTTTTTACAGCATAAAGTCTGGGACATGGCCAAAGTAAATAGTATTTATTTATAGATGGCTGTGGTCTTCAGGTAATCTCAGAATTAGTGAGGTTGGAAAAGACTTCTCAGACCATCAAGTCTAACCTCTGAAGCATTGTCAACCTGTGACCCCCACCTTGTCAGCCAGACCAGAGCACTGAGTGCCATCTCCAGTCATTCCTTGAACAGCTCCAGGGATGAGGATTCCACCACCACCCTGGGCAGCCCCTTGCAATGCTTGACAGTCCTTTCTGTGCAGAAAGTCCTCTTCATATCCTCCTGACCATCCCCAGCTGCAGCTTGAAGCTGTATCCTTAATGCTGTGCAGAAGGGGCGTTTTGCTGCCAAGCCATGTGGGGCTGTTGGAAATTCTGCAGGAGTTTTCCATGATGGATGTCTCTCTGCCTTGTGTGAGGAGTTCAGGCATTTCTGTATGTTTGGTATTTACCACTCCAGGGAAGGAGGCCAGGAGACTCTGGCAAAGGTTGAGTTTGTTTTGCTGAAATACTCTTGGTTCTGTGTTGCTGCCTGCTCAGTGAGCTGTATGTGAGACAGTACAGCCACCAGGCTTGATCTTCACCCCAGTTATACCAGTGCCAAAGTGCTGGATCCATCCCACTCACACGGTTTAACATGATGGGATATAATATTTTCATCTCTATTTTTCTTTCCAGTCCCTGGAGGATAGTGGATGATTGTGGAGGGGCCTTCACCATGGGGGCCATAGGAGGGGGCATTTTCCAGGCTATCAAAGGCTTCCGAAATTCCCCAGTGGTGAGTAAAATCCTCTGAAGGTGCATTGACTGCAGTCTTCCCTCCACTGTCCTCTCCACACTCCAGGGAACGTGACAGTGAAGGGGAAGGAGAATAAATCCCTGTGCAGGGAGCTGGCCTTATTAAAGACCTGTACATTGTTAATCCAGACCATGAGAATCTGTCCTGGCTCAAGATCTGTGGGGGTTCTTCATCTCTGGGGATAAAATTGCTGCTTCCCTGTGGCTCTGGTGGCCGCAGTGGGACACTGGTAGCTTGTTCTTCCCTAACTGATGTTCCCTCAGGATGGGGAAGTACAACCAGAAAGATCCATCTTGGCTGATCTCCTGCCTGTGGTTCTGTCTGCATGGAGGGGCATGAAGCCTGGGCTCTCCTTCCTCTCCTGGCTTTTCCCTTTCTTTTAAAACACGGAACAACTCAAAGAAAGAATCTTTTTATCCTTAATATTTATATTAAAAGGCATAATTTTCTTCAATTAATCTCTTATTTAGTCATTGCTCTTTTTATTAACTTGATTTTTTAATCCTCGGGTTTGGTTCTAGTGCAGGAGTGAGTAAACATGGAAGTGAAGTTTTGCTGATGCAAGCTGGTTTTCACTTTTGGGATATCTGCTGCGAAATTTTGGCTATAAACCCATTGCAGAGACATTTGATAAATTAAGATCCAATTGCTGCTAGAATATTTGTTTTAAAATTTCTTTGACTTCATATATGAGGTGTTTTCGATGTTACTCTGACAATAAGCTGTTGGCTTGAGGTGGGTTTGATAAGTAACTGTTTCCAAACGAGTTAGATTCTGCAGACACTTCACTTGAAAAGGATTGTGTGCTTAATTAGATTCTTAATTTTGCTTAAGACTTGCTAAATACACCTATCCCCACTTCTGAGTGATTGTAACAAAAATAAAACTTGGTGGATATTCTTTAAATTGTGTTAAAGTGTGGGAAAATGTGTAACTGTTCTTGTGGGGTCCTGGGTGATGTGTTGAGTATTGGACTCTGGAAAGCTCAGCGTGACTTTGCTTCTCTTGCTACAAAGACACCTCTGATTCCACCTGCAGGAACGACTAAACATAGGACAGCTAGTGTCATTGCCCATCAGAAAAATTATACATGAGAAAAATCACTGCTTATCCTGCTAAAATGTTACTGTAATGCCTCCTTCAGTCCTACTGGGCCACTCAGACTGTGAACCTAAATTGTTTCCTGCCTGGTGTCTGTAATTCCCATCTGTACCTGACAGGAATATTGTATGGAAGTGATAAATAGTGAAATAGATGTAAAGCACACTAGCACACTTTGTCTCAGCTCCTCACAGATGCTGAGGCTCAGAGATGTGTTGGGCCTGTGTCAGGTTTTTGCAATATAGGCTCAGCTTGGCTGTAAGATTTTACTGTTTTATTTTAACTGAATTCTCTTATTTTAGGGTGTAAACCACCGGCTGCGGGGCAGTTTGACAGCCATTAAAACCAGAGCTCCACAACTGGGAGGTAATGAATTTTGAGGTTTTGTTGCACAGAATTGACTGTTGGTAGATAACAGAGTTTGGGAATGTAAGATGGTGCAGCTGCACTGGCACCTGAGCTGAGTCTCAGCAGGTTTGTTGGCACAAGCAATGGGTAAATACAGTTCTGATATATCCAAAATGAGTTTGGTTGTGGAGGAAACAGTCTGTGTTCCTGGAGTGATAAGGCAGCAGTTAATAACAGGTCACATCTTAAACAGCAGAGCTCCCTGGAGCCTCTTCATGGTGTGGAGGGGGTTAAGATAAAACTAACTGATTACGAAAAGTGATCCAGCTTGGATCAAAAATAGAGCTTGGGGGTGTCCATGCATGTGCTGTAGGATGCCGAGCTCCTGAGGCCACAGGAGCAGGGTTGGGTGAGATGTGAAGTGTGACATGACTGCATCATTGTGAGGAAATACGTTAAAAAGGGATAAATCTGCGAGTTTCTTTAGCTAATCTGACTTTGTTAGGATGAAAGTTCCATTATAATCATGGTTTGATAAATTTTCTCTAGTTAATTGTAGATTAGTGAGATGATATATAAAATGGGGGGAGAGGGTGATGATGACATGTCAAGTTGGAAATTTTGCTGTATTGATTTTAATCTGTATTTGGCTCTTTGTAAGTCTGAATTTACTTCATGTCTGAAAGGGAGCACATTAAACACCATGGCATTTGCTGTGCAGCACAACTGGCTTCTCTGCTCTCTCCAAAATGGCTTTGGTTTGATTTGGAACAGGGAGCTTTGCTGTCTGGGGAGGTCTCTTCTCCATGATTGACTGCAGTATGGTCAGAATGAGAGGGAAGGAAGATCCTTGGAATTCCATCACGAGCGGAGCCCTGACTGGAGCCATTTTAGCTGCAAGAAGTAAGAAACTGGGCTATCAGTTGAAAATCTCCTGTTCTCTAAATGTACAGTTCTCATTGTTATAGCAAAGCACTCAAAGCACTGTGACACCCAGACTGGAATTTGGTGTCTCAGATTCTGAAAAATAATCTGAAACTTCTCCTGTCCTTAGAAAAGTAATTATCAGGCTCCCAAACGTTCCTGGTGTTCCTTGAAAGGAGGGTAGGGGAGTTGCCCAGTAATTATCCTTTAATGCAGCTTAATGGAAAAAATTACTGCTCTGAGTCTGCTTTAGGAGAGATTAAGGCACGAAGGGGATGGGGAGGCCCTGGCAGATGTGCCCACAGAAGCTGTGGCTGCCCCATCCCTGGAAGTGTCCAAGGCCACGTTGGACAGTGCTTGATGCAACCTGGGATAGTGGAAGGTGTCCCAGCCTGTGGCAGGGGGTGGAATGAAATGATCTTTAAGGTCCCTTCCAGCCCAAACCATCCTGGGGTTCAATGGATTCTAACATGTACCAAAGAAATTAAGTGTTGGTTTGTGCTTTTCATTTCCAGATGGCCCTGTTGCCATGGTCGGATCTGCCGCAATGGGAGGAATTCTCCTGGCCCTGATCGAAGGAGCTGGAATTCTGCTGACAAGATTTGCCTCCACACAGTTCCCAAACGGTAAGGAGCCAGCAGAGGTTGTGTCACAAGGATTTGCTTTGCTGATGTGCCCCTGGCAGTCATCTTCTTATCCTAGACTGCCCTGCCAGCTCCTGAGGCTGTGGAAAGCCAGGGAGGAGCTGCAGGTGCTGATGACATGAGATTATCACCAGCTGCTTCCTGCTGGGAGACTGGAGGTGGCAAGGGTGAGAGCAGGGATGTCCCTGCTGTCCCTGGCTTCTGCCACACAGCTGGCACATGGTGGCAGAAGGGTTTTACTCAGTGGTGGGACACAATTGTTTGAGGGAATGGCAGGCAGCACGTTGTGGAAAAGAGGAGTGATTCTGGCAGGTTGTGGTCTGTGTAGGGAACCCTGGGGTAAATGAAAGGATGAAGACCTGGCAGGTAGAGATACATAATTTCCAAAAAAGGGTGGTGGTGATTCTCTTCTAAACTGCTTCAATATCTACATCCCTTTTTTCTTTCCCAAGTAAAATGCAAGCAGAGCTCTCACTGAGTAAGAAATTGTTGTGTGAATGCTTCCTGTGAAAAATGCTAAATACCTCTGTCACAGAATCCCAGACTGGATTGGGGTGGCAGGGACCTCAAAGCCCATCTCATTCTACCTCCTGCCATTGGCACAAACACCTTCCACTATCTCAGGCTGCTCCAAGCCCTGTCTGACCTTGGGTGGAGAGGCCCTGACACAGGCTGCCCAGAGAAGCTGTGGCTGCCCCATCCCTGGCAGTGTCCATGGCCAGGTCAGTCAGGGCTAGGAGCAACCTGGACTAGTGGAAGATGTCTGTGCCCATGGCAGAGGGTAGAATTGGATAAGCTTTAAGGTCTCTTCCAACCCAAACTGGTCTGTGATTCTATGCAACTTTTGAAACTCTTTATGAAACCCAAACAATTCCAGGATTTATGATTAATTTTAAGAGGGATTTATATAAACAAACCAGCTGTGAATTCTGTTAATGGGAAGAATCTCCTACATTTTGGTATTTATTTGCCTTTTCCCCTGTCCGTGCTCTAGGCCCACAGTTGTCAGAGGATCCTTCCCAGCTCCAGCCGCCCCCGTTTAGTGACTACCGACAGTACCAATGATGGTCCCTGGCCGCCGCCTCCTCCTCTTCCTCCCCTGTTCCTGAGCAGTCCCACCTGGAGGATGTGGAGGGGGTTTGTACTTAGACCAGTGGTGGTCTATGCCAGGAGGACCTGCAGCATTTCTCAATGTCAAATTGCTCAGGAGAACTTTCAGAAAAGAAAATCTATTTATTCCTGATATATTCCATTGCTGTAATATTACACATGTCTGGTAGAATACAAGGAGATTTGAGACAAGGACCAAACGGAGTCTTGTCATCCTTTGGGCACAGACTGGAGTGAAAGTCTTGGAGTCTTCTCTGGGATGTTGCACCTGCAGTGAATGCTGCTGAAAGGTAGCCTCTTCCCTGTCAAGTTTAAGTTATGGGGCTGGAGGGGGAAGTATTGCACCTGCTGCCAGCATAGCCTCCTGCTTTTCATTTCGGATCCTGGCCTGAGCAGAGTTACCACATCTGTTCTGCAGTTTTGTCTTCAACCTCCAGCTGTAGAAGCCCCTTCCCTCTTGCTAGCAGTTACAAGATCATATCCAGTGAGGTTTTCTGTTGTAACTAATTAACTCATTGATCAAGCTATTGCTTGCTGGAAATTCCTGATACAGTGTCCAGCCTGGGGGATTTCCAAAGCTGGGCCCCATCCAGACAGCTCAGCAAAAGGACATCCCCCCTCTGGGGGATGGCAGGGGCAGGTGGCACAGGGGCTATAGTGGCTCTGCCCACACTCCTTCACCTGTAGGTCAGGCAATGGCCCTCAGCTGCCTGAACTGGACTTTGCTGGCCTCTGCACCTCCAGACCTCCTGACAGTCACTGTCCCCTGTGCACCAGAAGCCTCTGAATGGGCCATGGTCCTGCACTGCTCCCACCCTGGCCAGGCTGTGCCACCTCTCCTGCCCTGCAGAGCCCCAAAGGAAGTCACAGCCCCAGAGCTGTCACCAGCCAGGGCTGGGTTTCCTGCTCTGTCATCACAACACTCCCATTTCCTGTTTTATTCCAGCCCAGTCCAGAGTTCACCACAGCTGGAGGGATTCCACTGCCCCAGGGCACTCCTGCCCTGTTCCTGGGGTGCCCAGAGCCCTCTCTTCCCCCACCCCAAAAATGGACATGGACACAGTGGTGACACTGAACTATTGACCTTTTTATTTCAATCAGCTACAGCAGCTCTACATTCCCTACAACACTGTTCTTCCTCCCTCCTCCCGACACGGAGGGAGCCAAGGACTGCGGTGGCAGCGCATTGTCTTAAAGCTTAGTATTAAATATTAAATATTCTTTCATTTATGTTTACATTACTTTGTCAAGGAAAACAAAACAAAAAGGACAATTAAAACTTTAAATTACATGAGTGTGTGCCTGTGCCTGGGGCTGCCCCAGCCAGGCACTGCCGTGGGGGATATGCAAAACTCCTGGTTCATGAAGAGTGGGATGTGCACAGCTGTGCAGGAGCAGCAAGCACCAGGTGGCCCTGGTGCAGCAAAAACACTGTCTGGAGGAGTCAGGCACCCCCTGCAGCCCCAGCACAGTGCGTGGGGAAGGGGGTGAGGATTTGGTCGACAACTTTGCTAAAGGATTTACCCATTTCTTACTTTTTTGTTTCTTTAAAAGAAAAAAAACAACAAACCAACAACCCCAAATGGTTTTGAGTCTTCCTTTGATTTTAGCAAAGACAAGAGTTTAAAAAGCACTTAGGAAGCTTGTACTAAAACCAGGCGCTCTCAGAGGAGAGAGTCGTCTGTGCACCCCCCTTCCAGGCCGTAGCGGAATTCCTGCAGGTTGGACACCCCATAGAAGTGGACGAAGGCTGCAGCCACTACCAGCACATGGAAGATCTGATGAGACTGGAACTGGAGGGAAGCAAAAAAGCCTTTAGACCAGACCAAAGGGGACACCAACACTGTCAACACCACCTCTTCCTCTTCCTTGCTGCTCCCGGACTGTCCTTTGCTCTCTGCTCCCCACTGTTGCATCCAGCAGTGATTCCCACCCTGTATTTTACCCTGCCCACATGCAGCACCCATTCAAGGTCTGCCTGCCACTGTGCTGAGGCACAGCCTGACATCCCATCCAGCCCCTCAATGCCCCCTCTGTTGACCCAGAGCTGCCCCTAGGTTTGCTGATCCCCACACTCACCCAGATGTCGAACTTGCCCGGGAAGAAGCGCTCAGGGATGCGGGCAGCATAGAGCCCAGCGCCCGTGATGTACATCACAGCCATGAGGAAGAACCAGCCCATCTGCCCTACCGTGGTGGCCTTCACAAAGCCTTCAGCAATGGTGAAGTGCATGGTGGGCACAACCCCGCTCAGTCCCAGCCCCAGGAACACGCCTGTAGCCCAGAGAGATCAGGGAAATGAGCTCAGTGGGAGTGGGGGGGAGCTGCTCCCCCCACCAATTCCCCTGAATCCCTCATCCTGTGCTAGGGAAGCAGCTTTTCTTCACTGAATTCACAGAATATCTTGAGCTGAAAAGGACTCATAAAGATCACTGTGTCCAACTCTTGGCCCTGCACAGGAGACCCCCAAACAATCCCCCCACTGTGTCTGAAAGCATTGTCCTAACACTCCTTAAACTTCTCCAATCCTTATGGCACATGTCCTTCCCAAAATGAGGGATCCACAGGTCCACATTCCAGGCAAACCGCCCCTGTGCCCGTTGGGTAGAATCCACCCACTGTTTTTTATGCAGGGCTGCAGCAGCTCCCACTCCTGGCTATGAGAATGGACTTTGTAAGGTGCCAGCCCTTTGGATTGCACCAGGAACACAGCCACCCCTTCCAGTACAGTAATTTCTTGCAGCTCCTGAGAAAGGAGCTCGGCAGCAGCTGAAATGTTCAACTCTGCCCTCTGATGAGTTGGCAAAGAACAAGTGGCACCGTGGTGACACTGGCCTGGAGAGGCTCTGGGTGGCACCTGGCTGGATCCTGCTCGTGCTGGGGGCACAGGATGCAGTGGGGAGGAGCCAGGGGGATGTGAGTGCCGCCTCTCCCTGGCCCTCATCTGAGGGCTCTCAGATGGCCTCTGTCTCAGCATGGTCTTTCCTTACTTCATGTAGCCAGGACAGTGGTCTGAGACATTTGCTTCAGGGCCCCTGGGAGTTGGGGAGGGAGGTGTCTCCTGGTGCTTTAGCCAGGCTGGAGGGAACCCCCCACTGCACCCCCAGGAAGGCAGGGACCAGCCAGCACGTCCCTGGCAGGGAAGAGCTCAGGAACACCTTTCTCCTCTGCCTCAGCTGCAGCTTCCTGCTGCTAAACTGCTTCCTGCAGAAGGCAGAAAAGGCACAGCCCCAGCTGACCCGGGCTATTTTTAAACTCCAAACCTCAGGCTCTGTTCAGCAGATGAATCCCCAGCACAGCAAGAGAAGGCAGGAGGCTGCTCCCTGCAGTGCTGTGCTGCTCCAGGGAAATGAATCCTGCAGCTCCCAGAGCTTCTCCCAAACGGGATCTGCCCAAAGTGATTCCCAGGACCTGGGAGAGGAGGGAGCTCCTACCTGCTCTGGTCTGCCTGTGCTTGGGAGTGGCAAATCGGTCCCACTGTGCCACAATGATGGCAGAGATACCCAAGACACAGACGATGGAGAGGTAGATGAGTCTTGGCTGTGGAGAGCAGTAGAATGAGTAGTAGAGCCACGGGACGAAGCTCCCCATGATCAGCAGTGCAATTCCTGAATAATCCAACCTGCAGCCAGGGTGCAATGACAGAGAGCCACAGGTGAGCCCCAAAATCCACCCCCTCCATGTGGAAAGGGACTCTCCAGCCTGCACCTGAGTGGAGTCACTGGGCAGGAGGGCTGTGCTGGAGTCCCATCAGGGCAGGTGTGACAGGAGAAAGGGCTGGGCACAGTGGGAACGCTGGGGAGGGGCAAGAGGAGGCTGGAACTCAAACCACCGGGAACAAATCCCTGTGCACGTGGATCTGTGATCCTCCACTCATCTCACCACTGAAACACAGCCCCTGCACTGCCCCCACTGCCTTCTCAGGAACACAAGGGCATTCCTGCTGGATTTGTTTTGGAGACAGGATCCCATGGGATCTCTAGGGATTGTGCAAAGGGGATGGGCACGATTCCCAGCAAGCAGCACTCAAATAAACGCCTTTAACAGCCACGAGGGAGCAGAATGTCACTAGAGAGCCTCACTGCAGAGGCTGATGGGAGCAGCCCAGGAAGAGGCACAAACCACTGACCAGCCTTCCCACTCTGCTGGGAATCCTGTTCCTTCTTTCCATTTGGTTTCAGTCCAAACTGAGGTTTTTAAAAGCATCCACTAAACTGGGTCCTGCCAAACTGGCCATGGCCCCCAGCTGCCCAGTGAGAGTGAGACCCCTCCTCAATTCACTGCTACAAGAGGCAACAGAGCCTGTTCCCTTGGGAGCCAGGATCCTGTTCCCTTGGGAGCTGCAGTGTCCCAGGATCTTTATCATGCACCTGAGGCCCCTGACCTGGCACGTTTAAGATGCTCAGACAGAACCCTCCAGAACCCTGTTGTGCTTCCTCTCAGTTTCATGCTGGATTGGATGGACGCTCCCTTCCCCCAGGGATAAAACACTTGGGAACACAGTGCTTTCCAAAAGGAAATGCTGCAAGAACCCAAAACCTCCCAGGAGACCACACAACCACACTCACGCTGACTCACTTTGAAAAAGTCCGTGAGACCTTCTCTGAGTGACAGTAGACAGTGTGGAAAAGCCAGGAGAAGCTGAGGCACAGCACTGCTCCCAGGAAGAACATCCCAAACACCACCTTCTCTTGGAGAGGAGCCATAAAGTACATGTTGGGCCGCAGCATGGTCAGGATCCCCAGGCAGAGGAACAGAACAAACCCTGCAGGAGCACATGGAGAAGGAAGTCAGGGGGATGAGTGAGGGAGTTCAGCAGAGCCAGGATAAGAGCAGCCCTAGCCAAGCTCCAGGAGGTCCAGGATGTATCCCAGGGGTGCTCAGTAACCCACAGTAGGTCCTTGGCTAAGGTCTTTGTAAGTGCAAATGAGAAGGTCTGGGATCAGAGGAAGGGGCAGGCACAGGGCAAAGAGCTGCTGAGCTGATGTGTTTCACAGGGTCATGGAATCACAGACTAGTTTAGGTAGGAAGGGACCTTAAAGCTCATCACATTCCAGCCCATGCCATGGGTAGGAACACCTGCCACTATCCCAGGTTGCTCCAAGCCTCGTTCAACCTGGCTGTGGACACTTCCAGGGATGGGGCATTACCACCCCCACAGGGAAAAATTTCTTCCAATATCCCATCTAACCCTGCCCTCTGGCAGTGGGAAGATATTCCTCCTTGTCCTATGACTCCCAGCCCTTGTCCAAAGTCCCTCTTCAGCTCTGGAAGGGGCTCTAAGGTCTCCCTGGAGCTTTGTCTTCTCCAGGCTAAGTATTCCCAGCTCTCCCAGCCCAGTTCCAGAGCAGAAGAGCTCCAGCCCTCAGAGCATCTCTCTGGCCTCCTCTGGACTCATTTCAGAGGAACTTCATCTGAGGCTTCCTTGTTTTTCCCAGGACACATTTTGCCATCCCACTCCTACAGTGGCTGAGCCCAGCCCTGGTCCCTCTCTCCCAAGGGGCTCCAGACACTCCATGTCTGATCTGCCTGCATGCACAGCATCCTCACAGGGAGCCCTGGGCATGGAGAGGACCCAGCACTGAGCCTGCCCTGACTCTAATGCAGGGTCTGAGCCCCTCCAGCCCCAGGGCTCCCTGTTCCCCACAGTCACCCAGCAGGTGTGTCCAGATGTTGCCTGTCTCAGTGTGTATCCGGAAGATGCTCCGGAAGCAGGCACGGAAGGAGGGCATGGGGGGCCGGTGTCCGTGCAGGAGGTAATCATTGTCCTTGAGCCAGTCGGGCAGGACGTCATACGGGATCACACGCCAGCGTCCTTCCCACACCTGCAACACACCAGGGGGATCAGAGCCCCACACCCACAGGGAACAACCCAGCCCTGGGCTGCTCCTCAGGGAGAAGTTTGGCTTCTCAGACATCAGGTGCCCTGTGGACCCTGTCAGCCACCCAGCCACATCCTGCACTTTGCTCTACAAAACTCCCATGGAGTGATTTTACCCTCACCTCAGTTAGCACATGGTTTGACTCTAGGGTCCCAAAGGAGTGATTCCAGGATCCCCCAGGGAGTCAGGGGCGATTGATACCATCAGCTTTAACCTTTCCACACCCACACACTGTTCCCTGTGGTGGGAATTCCCGTTTGATCAGGGAAGAAGCACAGGAGCCACAGTGACTGTGGGCACTGGGTGACACCACAGCCAGCACTAGGACTCCTGGGCCACACCCAGGAACACTGGGATTGCTCCCAGGTCCTCACCCACTATGGCCCCCATCCTGGCCATCCCCACTGGGATCAGCCCAGCAGAGCTGAAGCAAGCTGGGGCCATGTGGAGCTTTATTCGGACACAGCCTGTCACCCCAAACCCTGGCACTGGGGAATCTGCTCCAAAATCAAGACCGGGGGATCACCACCAGCTCCAGTACCTTGTACACGAACTCTTCCATCTTCTCCATGGCATGGTGAGCCTGCAGGGGCAGGGTCAGCACCCGCACCACCTCCTCCTCCTCTTCCTCACGGGCTGCCGGGCCTGGTGGATCCTCAGCCTGCAGGGAGAAGAGCCAGGAATCATTCCAGCCCCTGGGAGAGGAATTATCCCTGCTCTTCTGAGGGCATCTGGGGCTTCATCCCTCTGAGAGAACAAGGCAGGACCCCCCAGTCACCCTCGTTTATGCAACACGCTGCTGCCTGACCCATCCTGGGCAGGCTAATCCCAGATTTATCCTGTCGAAAAGTGGGATTACCACCAGGGATTTTCATCCCTACAACCAAGGCTGGAACCGCCGCTCGGCGCAACCGGGACACCCGAGCAGAGACAGCTCCGAGCTGGGAACGCTCTGGCTCCCGGCACATCTGCTCTCCTCAGCCGGGAAAGGGTTCAGGAAGGTGATTCCCTGCCCTGTGGAAATGCTGGGAACAGCCTGGGAACAGGCGGCACAGACACAGCGATCCCGGTGACATCCCTGCTTAGGACTATCTCGGCTCCATTCCTGCTTGCAGGAACAGCGTTCGGGCTGGCTCGGAGCTGCGCTCCTCTAGTCATTAATGGGAAAACGGGCAAATTCCCGGGGTAATCCGCGGGGACGGAGCGAGGAGACCGAGCCAGGCTCTGCCTCCCCGCCCGCCCGAGGGTCTCGCAGGGGCTCACGCTGGCAGCTCCGGTGGCTCCTTGGTCCCCTTTCTCCTCCAGGAGCGGCCCCAGCTCGGCGAGCTCCAGATGC